CTGGGGTTAGGACAGGTTGGTTAGATGGAAAAAACACTGGAGTGTGTCAGGTTCAGCGTTTAATAAACTAATTGTGTAGTGTTTGCAATTCCTCCTGCCCACTCTGGATTTCTGCTTCCTCAGCTGTGAATCAAGAGGGGTGAATAACATGGCTTCTAAAGTCCCCCACAGCTATTTTGGTCACACTGATTCTGTTTTCTCTCACTGAACATAACATTTCTTTATCACTCTGTGACTACACTAAATCCTATAGCTTATCCAAAACGGAATCAGCACCCAAGAAAATATCTCAAATACAAATTCATTCAACAAGAAGACCACTTTCTTTTTTTTTAAATTATTAATTTTAATGAAAGTTTACAGAGACTTTGGATTTTCATTCATTCACTGTCGCACTTTTCTCCCTGCCCACCCCTTCCCCCAGTTTGCTCAAGAAGAGGACTTTCTAAAGCTGCTTTTCTCCCCTTTCTTTCATTCTTAAAACAGATGTTATAACCACAGGCAGTTAAAAGAAAACTGGTATCTAACTGGTACAGTTGAAGGACTGCCAATTTCTAAGCAAATACTCTAGTGATCAACCCTCTTTCTGCCTTATTCAGAGTTATTCTATCAAATGATCCTCATTCTCCTAGTTTGTTTAGGGACAGGGTGAATCAGAACCAAGAGTTAAACTGTTGCCCTGTTCTGATGACAGATAACTAAGGGGAGTGTGTGTGCTTGTGTGTGAAGAAGATAGTGGCAAGAAGCTGCACTGCAATCCCAAAAGCATGCAGTTCGAGGATGCTGGCTGTTCCATGGAAGAAGGATGGGCAATCTCTTCCCGTGAGATGAACTACCTCTGAAAACCCACTGAAGGGCCAGCTATGTGTTGGTTCTGACAGTACGGTACACAACACATAACAATATATATTATATATATTCATGTACGAAAGTGTACCCATATCACATCATCTTCCTTTGCTTAACATAAAAGCCCTACACCTATGAAACAAGGCATGAATTCATTCTTGGTCTCTGTTAGGAATTTGATGTACCCACACATTAGAATTCTCCTATATCAGCTGTAACACCATCCAAATATTTCCATTTGCCAAGGTAATAAAGTGCTAAGCATAAAATCTGTACAGTACTTCCATTTTCTTCCTGGATAACTACATTTTAAAATTAAAAAGTAAAGTTCCAGAATAAGTAGTTTCTACCATGTTTATTTACCCTAGCCAAGAATTTGTTCATATTTAGAAAGCCCACACAGTGAAGTTTATCCTTTTAAATCTATTAAAATGGTCCCTCAGGGATACTGAGTGAAAAAATTAAAATCATCAAAGGAAAAGGTAGCAAGCTGAAAGAAAGTTTCCTCTAGAAAAATACGATATCAGGAAAGAACTGTTCTTTATAATAGAATTCACCACAATTTGATAACTAAGACTTCAAAAAGAAAAAAAAATATTTTCA